TGGATCAGAGAAAGGGCTTTTGCACTGTAGAAAAATTAAGCTGGAATCATTTAAATCACAGAAGTCAGCAGTGAAAGAGAAGGATTGCCTTCTACATGGATTTGTGCAGACACTGAACTAAGCATGTGTCCCTTTTCCGGATCCTGCTGAGCCACTCCTCTCCTCCCCAGAGGTGCATCTCTTTTACAGCAGCCACCACACTTCATCTCTGTCCACAGTAGAGGCTGGTTGAAGGCCTGAGGCATCTCCTTTGACTGATTCAGCATGACCAGGTGGAATCATGCCCCAATACCCCCAGGAACTGACCATAAATGGAGACCAAAAAGCTCCATCAAAACAAGCACGTGTTTGTTATACAATGAGAGAAGTTTCATTTTCTAGGTGAAACAAAACCCAGGAAAGTGCACTCCCACATGCTTTGCTAGCTCAGCATACACTTGCTCATCTTAGGTGAGGAAGCTCCAGCTGCCTCTGTTCCACCAATCTCAACTGGAAAAAGCAACGTACACACACACTCAGGGTCTCCTTCGCAGAAGGGCACACATGCTTCTTTTCAAGCCACTGCTTGCTTCCACTGATACACATCAGCTCCTCACTTCACCTCTCCAAAAACTCTTTGATTTTTGCAGTCATACAGGCAGCAATCCTCCAATGTCCACAACTCCTCATTTCCCTGGTCTGCCGTAATCTACCCAGAGATACAGTCAAGCACAGAGAATTTTGAAACCCTGGTAGGTCCTGTCATTAACTGCCAGGAAGAAGAGCATTTCTAAAAATAAGGATACACTTCACCTACTGTTGAAGTACCTGATGATGATGGAAATTAAGTGAGCCCAGCAATGAGTTGTTCCTCTACCACAAAGCACATGGAGGCTAAAATTAAAAAGCAGTCAAAATAACCAGGTGTGGTCCCACAGAAATGCCTGGATCCCACCACTGACTATGCACAGCACCACAAGCCCAGGTACACACTTCCAGAGTAAGTGGTGCAACAACAGCCATGGGGTGACCTCAGACTGGCTCTGTTGCTGCAGTCAGGCTGGCACCTGAGCACAAGTAGAAGCTCACACATCCTTAACAGAGAAATGGCCACGATGTCCTTTAGCATCTCCCTTGTTCCTTGTCAGTGCTGACTTCCAGCATAGGGAGCACAGCAATTCACCTGGAGCACTTCACTGCTAAGCAAGAGAAAAATCAGATTTAAGGCAGCTCTGCATCCTTTGAATACAGCACCTATAGACAACATTCCTAAATCTCTGGCTGTGCTGGTGTCTGAAGATACACTTAATGCCTGAAACAACCTTCATCCCAACTGCTCCAGCTTACACCTCACAAGAGCCTACCAGCACAGCATATAGATGTCTGAGATCACCAGAAAAAAATCACTCAATAATTTCTTACTAGCATATCTTCAAAACTGTTGTGGTGACTTGAGTACAGTGGCATAGATAGGAAAAAACTCCAAACAAACAAACAAAAAAACCCAACAAAACCCCAATCCAGTAATCATAGTTTTTAGTCAGATTTTTCACCTGTTTATTCCATTGGCTTTAGACTCACTATTTTCAATACCTACAATCAGTTATGGAAACACTTCATTCAAGATAAAAAGCTACTGAGCATCTCCACAGACAGTAGCCAGGTGATAATTTTAGAACAAAACCATATACGCATGGATCCACTTCTTTGCACAAAGGGAGTTCACATTCCTCTACATACACAGGAAGAAACCTAGAGCCATTTCTAAAATTTGCTCAGATTAGCCTTGCTGCTGTCAATTCCCACAGCAAGGGGGGGAAATCCAGCAGAAAGTGGTCTGGATTTTCAAGGATTCGCTCTGTCAGCCCCAGAATTACAGCTGCACCCCAAGCAGAGCAGCATACTGACCCTGCAAAGCCACTCCAGAGAGCAAATCCTACCGTGTGGCTGCTTCAGTCCCGTCTCCCAAAAGACACCACCAGCCACAAGGTTTAGTAACACTTAAAATAGCCCAGCCAGCTCACAGCAGTCCATATAGACAGTTCTATTTCAAGCACATCCAACATACTGTTAGAGATAGCACGGGAACAACCCGCTTTCTTCACTCATGCTTGACATTTATCTGATGCTTTGACTATTTATGCTAAGGCAGTGTGAAACTGCAAGCTTGCACATTCAGCAGCTTGGACAGTCACAATGCAATTCCAGCACCAGTAAACTAGACGGTGCTAGAACAGCCCCTGAGCTCGTTAACTGAGACTGATCTGGAAGCTCATGTTAGCCACGGGAATCCCAGACCATGCTGCTCAGGCAGAAACTTATTCCAATGTCCCTCCCTGCAGACAGCCTCACCACTTCCTTATTTCTGACCAAATATTTTGCCCACTTCTGACTTACTTTTGGCCAAAGCCCAGGTGAGATTCTGCACCTACTGAGCTGACTTCTCTTCTTCACCTTGCCTCCCAAAACCCACCGCTGCTTCTCTATGGAGCACGCCTAAACGCTGGAGATATTGCTCCCCCAGGAATTTGTCTCAGCATGTCAAGCCATTTCTGCCATGCCAAGGGCAGCCCTTGGGAAGAAGCAGGCTCAGGAAAGCTGAGCTAACAGCTAGTGTGGCTTTTTTTGCTTTATGTAGGGCTGCACTCGTTTCCTCCTCTGCACCTGCTGTTCCATCGACACGGATGCCCAGGCAGTGTTTCGCTAGCCTTGGACACACACATGGCAGGCTCACAGGTGACAGCCTTCCGTCTGCCTGGTGCACAGGGCTGGGGAGGACCAGGCACACAGCCCCACACCTGCCAACATGGCCAAGATTGGGTGAAAGCATAAACGGTCTGAAACCAGATGAGCCCATAGAGATGGAGAGAGAAGGCACGGTGGAGGTTACGCCAGGGTGAGAAGCAGAAGGGCAGCCTCCCTGACATGTCAGGGGAGGAGAGGGATGGGTAAGGTCACAGAATCCTTTAAGGTTGGAGAGGACCACCAAGATCACTGAGTCCAGCCATTAAGTCAACACCGCCAAGCCCACCACTAAGCCATGTCCTGAAAATGCCACATCTACATGGTTTTTGAACACATAGAGACGGTGATTCAACTACTTCCCTGGGTAGCCTGTTCCAATGCCTGGCCTTTTCCATGAAGAATTTTGCAAAATATCCAATCTAAGACTTTCCTGGTGCAGCTTGAAGCCATTTCCTCTTGACCTGTCACTTGTTACCTGGGAGAAGAGACCGTCCCTCACCTGGCTACAACCTCCTTTCAGGGAGTTGTACAGATTGAGAAGGTCTCCCCTGAGCCTCCTTTTCTCCAGGCTGAACGCCCCCAGCTCCCTCAGCCGCTCCCGTAGGACTGACTCTCTAGACCGTTCAGCAGCTCGGCTGCCCTTCCCTGGACACGCTCCAGCACCGTTGGCCGCCCCCGCCCGCCCGAGCCCCTCGGGGCCGCCCCGCGCCCCCATGCGCCGCCCGCGGGCCCGGCCGAGGATACCCAGGCAGAGCGGCGGCCCCGCGCCCCCAGCCCTCACAGAGGGGCTCGGCGGCGCCTCTGGCCTCACCCTCACCCGCCCCCAACTCCAGCACAGCCCCAGCGCCTCCCTCCGCCTCCGGTCCCGCTCAGCCCCAGCCCCGTACCTGTACCCGTACAAGGCGCCTCGATAGCCCCGCTCCGACGGCTGCGCCCGCCGCTCTCTGGGACTTGTAGTGCGGCGCGGCCCCGCCCGGGACGGCGGGCGCCCTCCCCCGCCGGGGCGGTGCTGCCCCGAGAGGCCCTTCCGCGAGTGCCGGGCCCTGGCTCCGCCGCGCTGCTCCAGCCCCGTCCCGAGCCGAGATGGCGGCGCCCGAAGGCACCGGCGACGCGTGTCCGCGGCACAACCCGCCCCGCCCGGGGCACGCGCCGGGACTACAGCGCCCACAGTGCCCCGCGGCGGCCGCGGCGGTTCCGGGCGGTGGCGGCGGCTCCGCGGCGCCGCGCCCTGTGCATGGCCGTGGCGCCGAGCATGGGCCCGGAGCGCGTCTGTCCCCGGGAGCCCGGGCTGCCGGAGGGCCCTGACGGCGCGGCGGGGTGGAGCGGCGACGAGGAGGAGGAGGAGGAGGAGGAGGAGGAAGGTGGCGGAGGGTACTTGTACCAGCCACTGAGCCAGGAACCGGAGCAGGGCCCCGGCGAGGCGGACCCCGGCCTGCAGGAGCGGCTGCAGGTACCGCCCAGCGCCTCCCGCCGAGACGGGGCTGGGGGCACCCGTGGTCCCGACCTCCGCTGCCCGCTTTTCTCCGCAGATGCTGAGGCTGCACCTGCCCGACCCGCCGACGGACAGCGAGGAGGAGGAGGAGGAGGTGGCGGAAGGCGCCGCGGCTCAGAGCAGCCGCAGCTCCATCCCCATGGATGCAGGTAACGGCGTGTTCGGCAGGGCCCTTTCGGGGCTCCGCCGCGGTCTCACGCCCTCTCTGTTCCCAGAGCATGTCGAGCTGGTGAAGAGGACAATGGCCAGCGTGAAGCTGCCTACCCTGGGCATCCCCGCCTGGGCCAGCCAGATCTCGGAGGAGCAGTGGAAGGACGTGGTGCAGCGCACACTGCAGGCCCGGCAAAGCCTCGGCGGTCCCCGGCCCGACTGGAAGTGAGAGCTGAGCTGCAGCACAGGAGCTGCAAACCCGAGCCCTCCCTCCACCCTGCAGGCACCCGCTGCCTCCAAGCCAGGTGCTGACAGGACTTGCCAGTATCGACCTTCCAGTTTCTCCCACTGACATTGTCTGATTTACCTTCCCACTCCTCTTTCCTGGTTCTGGCTGGTGCATAAGTCAATGTGATGTCCTTGTGTTGTCTTCGTCTGCCTCTGAGGAGCCTGACTGGTTTCTATACCTGTGTGCATGTGGGGCGAGGGGACTTAGCTGGCTTTGCCCAGATTCCCTCAGGACAAACACTGGACTTGTCCCTGTGCTGACAGTACCTGAGAAGTCCCTCTCCAGGCTTGGGCCCCTTCTCCCAGGACAGGGTCTGTGTTGGAATATCAGAGGCAGAGCCAGATGTGTCATTCCAAGAGATTGGTTTTATTTAGTTCTGTACATACAGGGACATCTGTACAAAATCCAACACTTTCATACTATGTAATGCTCTACTGAAAATAAAGTACACCATATGTACATATGAACTGTAAGCAGCTTAATACTTGTGTCCAGGGGGTGAATGCAGTAGTTTTGCTTGTTCCCTTGGGAGGAGGGAGCCAGGTGAAGTGGAAGAGGCAGCTCCAGTTCTGTCCATTTGGCTGACATGGGGAAAGGCATAGGCAGAAATGAGCAGCACTGATGCTAGAAACCAAGTATTGAGCAAGGGGCAGCTGTAGTGTGGCAGATCTGCCTATGAGCAATACATGTGGTGAGAGGGTGAGCACACTCCCCCCTTTCTCACATGGTCCCCTTCTGAGGTGTCCAGGACACTGGAATGAATAGGCAGCAAACAAAGGGTGAAGGTACTAAGCCTAAGTTCCCTGACCCAGAACAAGACACACAAAGCTATGGGAACACTGAAGCTGTACAGCACGTAGTCATGATGCGTTAGTCCTATCCCTGCACATGGCACGACTCCAGCAGCATTCCTCTGGCCAGGCTCAGGGGCTGCCAACAGAGACAGACCATCTGCAGGACAGCGTCAGCCTCTGCACACCACAAGTCTGTTCCTTCCGCAGGCAGAGCAGCCTGCAGCAGGGAAAGGCTGCCCAGCAGCAAGCAGGCTTGAGTGAGGGCACACCATGCTGTAGCAATCTAAAAATGAGGTGTTGGCTTATAGCACAATGCTAAGAGCCAGTTGGAAAGCCTGCACCGAAAGGAAGAAGCATCCCACCCAGCCTGAGCCCAGCAGTCCTCATCTCCACTGTGCCACTCCGGTGCACCATCTGGCATCACCTGGTGCATGTCTACATGCTGTGCCAGGCGTGAGGTAATTGATTGGCAGCTGATCATGAGCTCGGAGTAATGTTCAGTGTAAGCAATAACCTCCCTGAGGTGTTCTAAAGTCTCCTGATGAACTGGCCTGTTGCAGAGGGGAGGTGGGGTCCTGCATGACTGGGGGGATCTCACACACGCGCTCACCAGCTGCTCCGAAGAGATGGTGGCATCCCTTGTGAGGGCTGAGCCGAGAGAGACCTACACAGGGCAGGGATGCAGGATACAGAGGTAAAAACAGCCTGGCTGGGGTTGGAGGAAAGATGTGCTGCACACCAGCAGCACATATTGGAGAGGATAAACCTCTGACCTGGGAATAGTTTACTATTGAGATACACCAGAACCTTCTACAACATTCCACGATGCTGCAAACAGTGTCAGGCTAGCACCGATGCCATAAGCTCCCTGCACTACTGCAAACCCACTTAAGCTTATGTGTCAAGAAAGCAGGTACAGCAGATAAGAAGCAAGGAGGACTCCCTTTTCTATCACAAGCCAGCCTCTGAGGTGGCACCTTGGCCTGGCACTGAATCTGCACCACAAAAAATAGAGGTGAAAGCTGGATCACAGTAGCACCCAAGTGCTGCGCAAGCCCCTGGGCTATCAGCAAGTGTGCTCTAAATGCTAATTTAGCAGAGTCCCTGATGCACCAGTAATAACTAACAAGGGCCTCAGCTCAAGGGCCTCAGCGGGTGCCAAAGTAACAGGGCAAGGTGAACTTTGGTCAGAGCACCCATGGAAGCAATTCAGCAGTAAACACTTGGCCATTGATCATGACAAGGAGACAACTAAACACTCAAACTCAGCCACACCCCATAAGGTGTATCCATTGCTTCCGCTAGCTTGCAGAAATGACTTTAGCAGCACAAGCTTCCTAGAAACCCTGGCCACTGCAGAGCTAAAGGTGGGATACAGAGACAAAGGGAGAGCTGCAGGAGTATTTTAATTGAGCAGGTAGAAGAAGAAAGCAGAATTCAGTGGCTGACACCTGTTACAAAGCGGGAAGTTAATTCTGGGCCCACAATTAACCCAAGACATCAGAATGGAGATGAGTCAGCACAGACCAACACAAATAGCTGAAGGAATCACTTTCCCACAAGAGAGCTTCTAAGGATGTCTGAAAGGGAGGGCAACAGTATGTAGTGCTTGCACCCAGCTTTACTGGGGGTGGCGAAGCACTGAACCCCCCACTCCACTGACAGAGGAACAAAACAAGAGGCTTGGAAAAAAAGGGTGGAAGCAAACATCTCCTCCACTGTACGTAAGACCCTTCAGCTGTGGAGCTGCACACCAAGGCAGCAAAGCCTCCACAAGCTCTGCTCCTGCCTCAAGCTCAGCCTGACCTCTGAGCACCACAGGGCTCAGCTGCACAAGCAGCACAGGGGCAGGCATGGCAGAGATGGGCACTTGGGGCTTGGAGCAGTATGCTGAGCCACGAATGGTTGTCTCTGGCCAACAGAGAGCCTGAGCAAGGCTCTGGCTTCCAGGCAGAGTAAGAAGAGGCAGCAGCTTGCAATGAAGTGAGTCCTGCCTGGACTGATACGATCAGAGGTCCGGCAGGCTCCCTTCATGCATGCACAGCCAAGGTGAAAAAGCAGGAGGACATGACAGTGGTGAGATACAAGTTATAACGTAAAACCAGATCTACCCTGGAGGTATGCAGATGGAGTGGAGGACAGGCACAGCTCACCATGTTCATTCCTTACTTATACATGAGAACCGAGTGCATTTCCATGACCCCTGGAGAAAAGGGATGGGGCAGAGCTTCTCGGGCCAGCCCCTGAGCCCGTCAGAGAGCCTCCTGGCTTGAGGTGAGAAACTCTTCTGCTCTCTTGTGGGCCTCCAGGGCTTTTATAGTGTAGACGTCCTGCGGAAGCTCAGATTTCCGGCGCAGCAAAACTTTGTCCTTCTTAATGTCTTTCAGCATCTATAGACAAACCGAAGGAGTCAGGGATCAGTAGCAAACCCCTTCACCTCTTCAGCCTCTGACTCCAGCCACTCTAGAATATGCTGGGTGACACTGCAGCATGCTCCAGAACAGTCTAAGAGCCAAACACAGACTAAAAGGACAGAGAAAAGTCCCACTCGCACTTTTTCCAGAGTGGGAAGGTTAGAGGGAAGATTAGATAAACTCTACTCTTCAGACTACAGGCTGATCTTTTAATGATCAGGGATGAGAGTAGGGTCATTTACCCTCAGAACACTTGGAAAGAGCCAGTTCTGGCTGTTGGACCCTGGACTGAGAGCAATTGTGGAAGGACTCTAGTCACCTACGCACCTGCACAGCCTCTGTCTCCACTGTTTTCTTCAGTAGCTGTATATCCTCTGCAGTCGGGGTCTCTGTTTCCATACAGCACACAGAAGGCAAGGGTAGAGGTGCATAATACATGGGGTACTGCAGACAACACAGATAACTGGAGAGTCAGCACTCCATACAACACCAAGCCTTCTCCCCCAGCATCCTAACATGACATGGCACACTTCTAGCTGTCCTCTCTGGCCCCCACAAAGGTAGTAGTAGGTACACGGACAGGAAAAGAGCATCCTCTCCTACCCATTCCTACCGATGCCGTCAGAGTCACAGCACACTGCATGCACAGCTGCAGCTGAGAGCACGGCCCATAAACATGTATGTGCATTACTTAGAGGTCAGTGCCACAGAAGACCAGGCTGATAAAACACTGTCAACATTCCCAAGACACTGGGTTTTGGGAGGGACAGACCACTGCTGCAGCAGTGTGCACAGGACTGGGATCAGGTGCTAAAGCCTGCTCTCATCATCTGAGAAAGCAGGTTAAGACCTCCAGCACATTCTTGTCTCATTCATCCTAGGTTCTGTTGTCACAGAGTCACAGATTATGCTGAGTTGGAAGGGATTCACAAGGATCATTGAGTCCAACTCCTGGCCCTGACAGGACCATCCCCAAGAGTCAGATCATGTGCCTGAGAGCATTGTCCAAGTGCTTCTTGAACTCTGGCAGGCTTGGTGCTGTGACCACTTCCCCAGGGAGCCTGTTCCAGCACCCAACCACCCTCTGGGTGAAACACCTTTTCCTAATATCTAACCTAAACCTTCCCTGACACAGCTTCAGGCCATTCCTTCAGGTTCTGTCACTGGTCACCACAGAGAAGAGATCAGTGTCTACCCCTCTTCTTTCCCTCATGAGGAAGTTTTAACTGCAATGAGGTCTCCCCTCAGTTCCCTCTTCTCCAGGCTGAACAGACCAAGTGACCTCAGCTGCTCCTCATACAGCTTCCACTCAAGGCCCTTCACCATCTTCATTGCCCTCCTTCAGACGCTCTAATAGCTTAATATCTTTCTTATATCGCAGTGCCCAAAACTGCACACAATATTCAAGGTGAGGCTGCCCCAGTGCAGAGCAGAGCGGGACAATCACCTCACTCGACCAGCTGGCAATGCCTGATGCCCCCAGGACATGGTTGGCCCTCCTGGCTGCCAGGGCACTGCTGACTCATATTCAACTTGCTGTCAAGCAGGACCCCCAGGTCCCTTTCCATGGCACCGCTTTCCAGCATCTCATTCCCCAGTCTGTACCTACATCCCGGGTTGCCCCATCCCAGGTGCAGAATCCGGCACTTTCCCTTAAACTTTTTATGGTTGGTGATTGCCCAGTTGTCACCCACCTGAGGGTTCAGCCGGGCCAGCTCCTCTATTTTCTGCCACATTTCTTCTCGTTCCTTCATCCTGAACCTTCCCCTGCAGAGAGAGAGAGAATCAGGTGTGAACTCCTGGGGAAAGTGCAGCTTTCACTCACTGGATGACAAAAGCAAGAGACAGCAGAAAAATGCAGGCAAGGGGAAGAGCTGCCCTGTCCTTCAGAGACCCCTAATTCTACCTACAGGTGACATGAGGCAAGAAGAGGGGACAAACTGCAATTAGCAGAAGATAGGCAGGCACACTCCTCACTCACCTCAGAGCACATGGTGGCAATAGTGGGCTGCACAGGTACTTTTTCCCTGGCTTTGTGCTGCAGGAGTGGACCAGAGTGTCTGGTTTCTGGGGTAAAGCAATGACACTAGTCTGGATTTCAAAGACACATTTTCCTGGTGCCCCACAGATGCAGAGGGACAAAATGACGTTTACAATAGAGCTGCAGTTCCACTGCCCACTGTTACCTCTGTCTCTAGCCATAACACACCAGAGAGCTGCCCAAACCCTCCAGCCACAGCTCTTGACCTTGGTACAGACTTTGGCACACATTTTAAGTGACCGTTCAGCAGGGCCATTTATAAATCCCAGGGCAGTGAATGTTCCCAGCAAACAGAGGTAAGCATCCACCACCCCTTATTCTCTTCTACATTTTAAACATCTGCACTAAAATCTCAACTTTATTTCTGATTTTAACTATCCGGCTTTCATCCAAGCTAGAAGTCTCTTTAGTGCCCTATCTATCCATGCTAAGGAAGTTCTTTTACTCTGTAATAACATCACAACATTAACACAGAGTTGAGCCTTCTTGTTCTCACCCAGAAAGGCCTTCTTATCTGGGTACCTGTGGCAGGGAAATCCAACTTAGCTGAGGAATTGTATCATGCTCACCACAGTATAATCTCAAATTATGCTGCTGAAAGACATTTTCACATCCTGCACACCAAGCTTTCAATTGATGTTTTACCAGTTTTGGTTATGCAGAACTGCCAAAGGTATATCCTTGATAAAAATCCAACACAAGGTTTTCTGAAGCCTAATTAGGCACAGAGGCACACTAGACAAAAAAAAAATCATCTTAACATGAGCAGAAAACAGTGCAGCTCTACCCATCCATTTATAGGACAGCTCTGAGCTGCTTGTTGAGCTTTTCCAGAGCAATCCTCCATCAGCCACACACCAGGGCAGAGAACAGTCACCCTCAGCAGGTCAGCATGAGTAGAAGCTAAACAGGGAGAAAAAGCTCCTAATGGAAACACCAGGTAGATCTTGTAGGAAATGTGCTGTCACTGACTGAAAATATATATGCAGATATTTGTGGTCTTCACAAATGCCCTAAAATGGGAAAAAAAGAAATCTTGCTTGCTCCCATTTTACATGTTAACAAAATCTTAATTTCTCCATAAGCGGGTTACCCATCCAAAGCTCTGATTCAAAAATTAACTTCATTATTTACTACTATTCCACAAAACAATGAAATGTACCCCAGAGCTCCCCACTCCCAGCAAGGATTAGCCCACCACCAGCTTTGGCTCATTTGGGAATGAGATGCACTATTTTCTGTCACTAAGTCAGAAAAAGACCGTTGAGAAAAAAAAAATCAGCAAAGTTGCCTTCTAGCTTACTGGACTGACTCAGCTCACGAAGGCAAGCTATACAAGCACCAAAACCAGCAGAAGGAAGCAGAAAAAGTGAAGTTCTTTCCTCTTTACAGCACCATGGCACAGGTACTTGCTGAGCTCAGATTTTATCTCCGCCATCTGCTCTTTGAAATTGCAGCAATTATTCCATCTTTATCACTGGAAAACTGAAAGCATCCTCTGGTATGAAAGATGCATTATGACCACTGCTGCAAAACTCTTTAGAGTTTTTTAAAGCAGTAGGATTCCACTGGCATCACTACAACATTTGTGAGCCGGTAAATATTTCCATGGCAGAGCATAAGCATCTCTGCAAAGCTGAGTATCCTCTACATTGCAATCTATTTCCTTATGACTCTTGCCACTCTTTTCTAAGCTACCTGGTTCAGCAGGACTGAAAGAATTTCTATCAGGGCACACATTTTATCTCTTCTCATCTCTACTCATAGTTACTGCTGAGGAATCCTACTTTTTTTACAAAATTACTTGTACCACCTTTCCATTTCCCCTCTGCCAACTGGCATCTACCATCTGCTACTGTACCCCAAGGAGACTTCAGGATGAGCTCAAGTAATTTGACAAAAACCTGTTACTCACTTCTGCTTCTCTGCCTTGTATTGCTGCGTGCAGTCATCAAAAAGCTTTTGGTTCATCTCCATGAAGAGCTTCAGTGCATTGTAGATCAGCCCGTGGATTGTTCTGCAAAGAAATGAGGAAAGAACAAGTCATGGTGGGCAGGTTCTGAGCCCTGAGTTAGCAGCAGCAGCACAGACAAGAGGTAACAGCAGCAGCAGCAACTCATTCTGTATCTGTGTGACAAAAGATTTTTACGCATTTCCAGCTCCTACCACAGGAAAACCCCTTCCACAAACAGAGCAGAAACTACACCACAGGGAGAAAGAGATGGAGAAGAAAGAGAAGACCACTGGGGCAGGTCTGCTCTACCACAGTCAGAGTAATGAGTGCAAAACTATGCATTCCTGTATTCATTTCTTGTAGTTAAAAGTGGGAAAGGAAGGATGCTAGGAGCCTGTTCAGGGCTGTTCTCAAGGGGGCTTTAGTGCCTCACACAGTTCACCTCACATATACAAAATTACTTTTTTGGGCTGCCCAGTATTTGGTCATGAGCTTTGTCACTGAGCTGCCCAAAACACAGACAGACAGCAGCCCTGCAGAGATGGGAACTAGCACAAAGAATACCACAGAAGGAAAGTCAACTTTGTGCCAGCGATTTATGGATAGGTTGCACTGTGTGTGAGCTCCCTACAGGACAAAGACTCTCCTGGGGAATAAAAACAAGTGTTGAAGCTGTCTCTGAAAGACCTGACCCAGAGGCTAAAGATGAGACTCAGAAGATTGAGCTCTGTGCCTCCACCAGCTCTACAAATGGAATAAGGAAGAGAGATGCAGCCATGCTGGACTTAAGCAAGCTGTCTGACCAAGGAGATGAACTAAGGGAAGGAAGACAGGCATCTGACATACTCAACCTGCCCTGTTTTAGCTATTGCTAAAACAAAGACAAGAAGAAATAAGAAGAAAACACTTTCAGGACTTCTGCCATACCACTGGGAAGCAGACAAGAAGAAAAGACAGAAACAGCAGAATCATGAATCTTGACTGCTGCAAGGACACAGAACTGGTGAAGGGTTTCAGACAAGAACATAAAGTCCTTTTCTGAACTTTGATCAGGAGGGGCAGTAACACTGAATGAGAGAGTGTCTGAGCACATCAATCTGCATGCACATATGCACATACATCACACACACGTGTGATGTATGTGCCTGTCTGCACATGCGTGTGCCTGTTGGTGTCTCTGGGTGTTTGCGTGTGGTCATGTCTGCACATTTGTGCCTATTCCAGACTTTAGAGCACCCTTGACTGGTGGCTCTAGTCTGTGCTTTCTGATAGAATGGAGAGCGGACTAGTGGGGAGCTCTCTGCAAACAAGCTCTACCTCACAACTTTGTCATTGCTACCACAGTATACTACTGAGCTCTGGACTTGCCTAGCCTCCCTAAAATTAATTATTTTGCTTTTTTCCACCCTCTAGAATAGAGGAAGATGGCTTTTTTTTTTTGGCCTTCTTGTGGTTTTTGCTGAAAGACTTTAGGATCTCAGCTGTGGACCAAGTATTTTTAAGGAAGTGTGTTAGATTAAATTAGCCAAACTTGAATTAACCAGGTAAGGAATCAAGTGAAGGAGAAGTCAGTAGAAAAGAAGTTGATAAAAGAACCATAAAACAGAGTAGTATCTAAGAATCAGACACAGGGGGCAATATTTGACATGGACAGCTGCCCACTTAGTTCTGCTTCCTCTGTTCTTCTTGTACTCAAGGAGTCAGGCACCACATTAGCCAAGGTCTCTGCTCATGGAGAACATATGGGCTGGACATTAGCTAAAAAGCAGACAGAAGTCAGTGGGAAAACCTACAGCACACCTCGGAGAGACTGGCAACATTACTGACAAGCAGGTATCAAAAGCTACGACTCGATGGCCCCCAAGGCTGGTAATTGCAGGTGCCTCAACTCGTGCAGAAGCAGGCCTCTGTGGTCTGCCGTGGCACTTTTCCATGCTGACATTACTAACAACCCCCCTGCTCAGCACCTGGTGCCACTGAGCGCCATGCAATGTTGCACTGCAGCAGCATGCCCCAAGATTGCCAGTGGATCAAGCAATCTGGCATGCACAGCAAGTGCCAGGGCATGTGGGAAGACCTACTTGTTCCAGTGACTCTTGGAGTTCTTGTAGAGCGCTGGAAACATGATCGGGAGAATTTTGGCTGCATTATCGCTGATCAGGCTCATGATATATTCGTTGTTCCAATAGTACAGCGCTCGCTCTGCCACCTGCAGTGGGAGAGAAAGCCATCCTTGAAAAGGCTCCTTCCAGTAACACCTGTTGTGCACAGGGAAGCCACCCCCCAGTCGAGGAGCCCACATGCTTCCCCACAGCACAGGCAGCAGGGTTGACCTTCACAGACTTCTACAAGGCCATTCATCCCTGTTTCCCAGCCTTCCTTCTCTGACCCTCCGTCAGACACTTCTCACTTTCCTGGGAAAAACATAATGTTCTTGAATAGACAAGCCTACTGTCGATATATTGATGATCCCAACATCCTTTACACAACACTTGAGGACAGTAATGTCATCTGCTCCAGGTCCCAGTTCAGACTAGCACCAAACCTCCTCCATTTCTTCAAACTGTCTTCTGTAAAGTTCCACTCCTTCCTGGCTTTTCCCACAACAGACTCTCTCAGGGCTTTGAAGCATGCTTCAGTCACTAGTCCCACAATTCAACCCCCTGATTTAGCAAGGGTGAAAATATGGAAAATCTTGGGGCAGCCATCCTGCTCTAACAAGATAAACAAGTTTAACAAGTTTCCACACAGTGACAGACTCAACCACAATTCTTCATATTTACCACAAATCTGGGCAATGCAAGCTAATTTTTGCATTTAGGACTAGCTTGAGAATGGCTTAAAAAACCTAGGAATAGAAACATCCAGAGCTCAGTTTTATATTTCAGATGGAGAAGTAACTATATGCCCCTAACATATTGTTCTACATGAGTAAATGAAGGGAAACTCACCTTGCGTTCACTTATCTAGTGTTTGGTTTTCCAAACACTAGATAAGCTTTTGTCTGCTAGATTAACAGACAACCCACTCAGAGAAAACTCACACCAAAGTGTTCAGACTTACTAAGAATTCAGTTCTTAATTTTGCTCTCAGACAAGCTGCAGACATAGAGACTGTTCAGCCTGACTGTATAGGACACCTTTGGGGTAAATTTTCCTAGGCTGTAACGTATTTGCAACTTCGCCAGGCTTTTCAGTCTTGTTTTCCAAAGAGTTTGGCAGCAGATGATGGCTGCTATCAAGTACAGAATGTCTCTCCTGCAGCCTTTACCTGACTTTATTCAATTTCCTTAGTTCCCTTTGGTAGCTCACTCCATGCCCAAAGGTCACATTAGTCCTTTGGTTCCCATCACCACACCAGTAATCCATGTCCAGCTGATTTCCTTTACAGGAAATTATCTTTTACATACACATGACCTAGACTGATTTTACTGTTGGGTTGTAAACACATGACTTTGGACCTCCCTATACCAAAGGACAGATTGAAGCCAGTCTGCCTTACTATGCAGTCACATTCATTTGGGAGATGGCTATGTCACTATTTCTTTAACACCCCACCTATACCAGGGTCAACAAGCAAGCTATCTTCTTCCTGTGTGCTCTTCATGGCAATCTAAAACACTGAGCCAAAAACACCTGCTAGGAGCTACTAGCAGGTCCTACCACCCTGTACATTTTAAACCTTAAGGCTACTATCCACAGAGATTGTTTCAGCTTCCCTTCAGGGAGAACAAGGAAGAAGCAGACTCCAGCACTTTTTTAGTATACCTCATGCTTTACCACCTATGCCAGAATAAAACAAAGTACCTTTGGTACTTTGGTCTCTTTGGTTGGCCTCCCTCCAATACTGCAGAATGCTTCGTTTACTGCAACAGGGGGACACTGGATGGATCTCCTGTCTTTGCTAGCCAAAACAGGAGGTGGCAGAGCACCTGTGTTCCAGCTCCAGCCTGCTGCAATACACAGTGCTGAACAGCACAGAGCAGCAGGAGGGGCTCCACTGATATGCTTTGTTTTCTCTTTGGATGAGCTTGCTCTGTGGTTGTGGTGAGGATTCTCACCACATCACCCCAATACTCACCCTGGTCACACCTCCACGTGCCACTGATCCACAAACACAATACTAAAAGCTGTGGTGTCACCCTCACATGCCAAGTGGCTTACATGTCAGTGCTCTACCCCCTCCCTGCGCCGCAACCCACCTGGAAGTGTGGGCTGGAGACACACTTGGCCAACTGCCTGAACAAGGGTTCCATAACTTTCACAAACTCAGATGGCTCAATCACGTCCAGGATCTCCTCCAGCTCATTTAAAAACATCACCTCCTTGGGACTGTGAGTTTTCGGCCAGAACTTCAGCAAGCCCACAATCACCTGAGTGGGGAGGGTACAGAGACAGCATTAGAGGATGAAAGTTAACACCAGCTGCAAAATAAACTTTTAAGCATCCGGTCACAACAGCAGAGGGCAGGAAGTAACAGAACAGATTTTCTTAGAAAGTCAGGGTGGGTTACCAGAGAAGAAAGAAGACAAAAGCCCAAACTCTGCCCAGTGACATTCATGACAGCAGTTCTGCCTAGGCTGATACAATTCAGTACTACAAGCACAAAACTTATAACCACTTTCTTTCCCCAAACACAGCTTAACACAGAAGGCTGAAACTGGATTGGGTAGCAGCTGGCCGACAGTGCAGAGTAACCATGGAAGACCAACTAATAAAATGGGAAATGCTATAGAGAAGGTCTCTGAAGAATCATTGTTCAAAACACCTCAGACCCTGAACACTGGGGAGCAACGAATAAATAATGCAATGGATGGGTTTGGGACAAGGAAAAGAAGTTCTACTTCACACAAAAGTAACCAGATTATGGAACTCATTCTTGCAAAACTTTGTGGAGACTCAAAGTCCAGAAAGACTCAAGAATGTAGCAGACAAGTTTGTGGAGTTTACAACTAATGGTTTTAATTAAATATGACAATGCAATATGACAATACTTCTGGCTAAGTAAACTATTGCTTACAGGATACAAGAAGAACATACTAGAGCAGGGTTAGATTTTATTTATTTTTAATACCGCTTCCTGTCCTACCCATCTGCTTCTAGACACTGTCAAAGGCAGGATCCAAAATCCTGCAGACCTTCACTCCGTAGGAAGAAAAAATGCTAACTCTGTGGACACTAGAGTCACGCGCAGCTGGCAGTAGGAGTTAGATGCTCTTTCAAACCTGTGTGCTTCAGCTACCTGATCCCAAAGCCAGCACTTGAGAAGAAGTTCACAGCAGCAGAGGAACAGTAGTGGGCAATGCAACAGCAAGATTAGAGACATCTAAGCATTGTGTTTCTGCCAACACAAGGCTTGAGAAGCCAGCAGTTTGTTATGCTCAGTGTTTGTCATTAGTCATGTCTGCCATTCAGGCAAGAATTACCTTCAGTGACTCAGAAGTAACTTCTCCTACAGCTAAGGCGGTCTGAGGTGTGTCGATTCCATCTTTGCTGTAACTGAGCACATCTGAGGCTTTGCTCACCTGGCAGTCTTGCAGACTGCTGTTAACACAAGAGCTACTATGTTAAGCCTTGCTGAGCAAGCTTCTGGGAGGCCGACTTGAGATGAATGTGGACCCAGTGAGTAATCTGGCCTCCTTTCAGCACTGCCGGTAACATCTCCTAGTGCATTCAGACCCTTGCTGATGCACAAGCCCTGTAATTCTTCCAGACTTCAACAACTCTAGTCATCTCAGGGGTCTATTCAAGACCTTCACAAGCAGGATGCTTTAACAGGACACAACCCGTGGCAATTTGGCCTTGGTATGTCTGGTTGAGACACAATGCAACACTCACTGAAGGTAATGAAATTGGGTCATCCCACTGCTTTCCACAAGCACCAGACCTGGGTCTGTAAGCCAAGGGCCACTAACCCATTACTCAGGAACTAGTGATGAGCTATGGAGCTTTACTATTTGAATAAGTTGCAAAATGAATCCTGGAAATATTGACAGATTTCTATTTCTCTCTTTTCCCTCACCCTAAGAGGTGCATTGGCAGGAGACTGTTGGACTGGATGTCAGCCACAGGAAGTACTCATCACGATCAGGAAGCTACTTTACACAGTTTGTTTCAGAGCAGGCTTTTGGGAACACAGGAAATGGAGGACCCACGTTTAAAGGAAAAGCTAAGAGGTCTGCTTCAGCACTGCTGGTGTCAGAGCTGTGGAGCCAGAAAGCTGACAACAGCTGACCAACTTCTATCAAGCACAGTCAGGCTCACCATGAACGCACACATTTAAGCCAGAGAACAGAACGACCTCAGCCAGCACTACTCATTAAAACACTCACACTTTCTGGTGCTCCCTGCTACAGTGACACAAGCACACGTTCTTTGCCCATCTGCTGTTTTGAGTCTGTGAAGCTCAGCTCTGTAGAAGACATTTCCTGGCCTGAAGTGGGTGGAGAAACATTTGTCTCCTTCTTGCACCCTCTGCCAAGCTGGCATATAGCCTGGTTAGCACTGCAGGTCTGTGCAGCGAGTGACTAGAATATGGGAGGTCTCCACTGCTCACACATTTTAGAACCTGATGTTTCCCAGTCCTATATCCTGAAGGCAAATGTGCCTACAAGGTGACTTAACACTATGAAGGTAGCAAACTGATGCTAAAGCTGGAAGGAGAATACTTTCATGAAGGAACAGTGGCTTGCCTAAGTAGATCTTTGTGTCCCAGGTTCCTAACCTCATCTCCACAGTTTTGAAACCAATTCCAACAGTCTGGAGGGGTCTCCACTATTTCACGGCCCCCACAAGCTCACACTGGTTCCATCAGATGGTCATGTGTTTTGTCTCTGCAGCATCTGTCACTAGCTGAGAGCTCTACCCTGAAAGAACAGCTTGGTATAGTGTTCCTTCTGCTACACCAAGATCTGAAGCACTATAAGCATCAAAGACATCAAATAACCCACCTTCATGAAGCTTTCAGGAGAGAACGCTAAAGGCTTGCGCATGAGCAGTACAGCTCCTTCTGCCCACAGGGAACCAGGCAAACCCAGTAAACAATACCACTCACTGACTCCCAGCCTCTTTACAGCAAGGGTTAAAAAAAGGGTACTCTAAGGAAGCTGTGAAGCTTTTTGGGGCTTGACTGTCACACAGAAGTTAAGTAAGATTACTCACTGGCTCTGTCAAACTGCTGTCTTTCTCCAAGAACTGTACAACACAGTATGCCAACTGTAGGAAAAAACATGGTAAGATTAGAGCTTCCTCAAGTGTACCTGAGATTAAAGTGCCACCATCCCCCCTAGGCTGGAAGTAACACCATGGCCATTCTGTTGCAGCTCTAAACAAATTCAGTTTTCTTATGGCAAGCAAAGGCTTTAAGCCCAAGCAGGCAGGGCCCGAGCTCCAGATATTCATGCAACATATAGGATAAAACTTGAGCCACCTAGAGCATCCACAGCCAATAGATTCAGATGCAAGCACAGCTGGACACACAGGGAGGAACAAACTGGACTGTCACAAAGCCCTGCCCCATAAAAACAGGGCTGGGAGAACAGACATCACTACTTAGCACTCATACTTCTTGACTTCCTAGCCCAAGTTCTGATCTTCTATATTCTTCTATTATGTCCTCAAAGTCTGAAGAAATTGTTCATTATACCAGTCTAGCAGACCAGCACACCGATTTCTCCACATATCTCAGCAGTGACTAACAGCTGACACACCACATGCACAGCTGGGAATTTTACCTCTCTGGTTCCAGCAGGGCCCAAGTATTTCACAAGCTTCCAGCACAGAAAGACAAAGCAGGCCACAGCATTAAGTCAGCAGGAAATGCCAATGCCTATCATCCAATGGCACAGGCCCAGGCACCACAAGGAGGGGACAACCACTGCAGTAAGGGACTAGTGCAGAGCCCAAAACATATCACAGCAAGAACTTCGTACAATGCAGCAACATGGCCTGGTGAGTAGCTATAAACAATGATTTTATAAGCTAATATATATATATGTATAGTTTATAATAGCTATAAACTCTTGCAATAATCCCAATCTGCCCTGGGAACTTGAAGCACTTCTCACCTGTGGATGGTAGACACTGAGAGACTTCACTTTGTGCAGTGGTAACAAGACTCTGATGAGGAACATCTTGTGCTCTTCCTTCAGAGGCAAAGCAAACCCATTGATTATGCTGAGAAGAAACAAGAGTCTTGTTAGCATCCTTACCCAGGAGAAATACAGTATCTCTCACCTCAAAGACTTGCCCTAGCTCTCATCAGTCCCTTAAGAAAGCACCCACCAAAAGTGTGGTCACTGTGGCCCAGCCTGCACACCATGCTCAGCGAGAGTGTGTCCTTGGCAGGCACCACAGGGAAACGCCTCTGATGGGGCTTGGGCTCTGCTCCTTTCTGTGCCAGGCTGAGCCCACACACACTTAGGCAGAACCTCTGGGGAAGGCCAGCACAGAGGCAGATCAGTGCTTGAGCCTCATGCTTTACAGAACAGGAGGATGGTGGCACAAGAGGGCTACAAACAGAAGGGCAGTTAAGCCATGGTGAAGGCTGCCCAGCAGTAAGGCTGCTAAGGCTTCCCACTGCTTCAGGGGAACTATTCTCTTTTACTGCCTGCTGAAGCAAGTGTGACTGGACTGAAACTCAAACAAACAGGAGAAAAATCTGGGGAGGAGAAGGCTACCACTGCACTTATCAGCAGGCTGGAGAGTACTTTAACTCTGTGCTCCATCAGACTGAGATTCTCTGGAAGAGAAGCCTCCTGCTGAAGGAAGGCACTGCCAGCTCACATAGCACATTGCGCTAATGTCTCACTGAGTCTCACTCGCTGTGGGCCCTCTGGGATTTCCAAAAGTGGTCTTACCTTCCTAGGATCTCCAGTAGCTCTGCAATCCCATTGTGGTGTTCTGTTTCATAGATGAACCTAAAGAGAAGGATGAGAGGTCATTGTCAAATGCTGGATATAGTCTGATAAACAAAAGGAAGGAAAAACACTGGAGACAGGGAGTCTAAGTGGTACTAAGAAACACCTCACCTGTAAAATATATTATTGATCTGCCTCCTCACATATGCTCGCAGACCCAGGAACTTCCCGTAGATCCTGTGTAGAATAGTCTTTAGGAAGTCTCGTTCTCTGGGGTCTTCACTGTCAAAGAGATCCAGAAGCTGTGGGGAGAGAAATTCAGTCAGTATCTGCATACTGCCTGTCTGAACAAAGCTACCAGCAATGCTGGGCACTGCTCACACGGCAAAAGTGGCACTTTCAGCTGGGTGATGCCCTCAGCACCCTGAGCACAGCAGTCATTTCCCTGAAACATGCAGCCTCCTAATCACAAGTTGGAACCATCTTCTTTCATCTTCAGGAACACAGTGATGGCCTGCACTTTCTACAAAGCTGTACATCCTCAGATTTCCCCAGCAAGGCTCCTGCACCCCTCTCCACCTGTACAACAAGTTATGAGTTCCAGAGACTACAGCTTGCACACTGTTTTGCCCAGCACAGAAAACTCTGTCTGCTCATCCAAGACAAAGGAATAAAGAAAAGTCACATCATCAAGCACTGCTGTCAAAGCTGGATTGTTTATGTAAAACCTTGACCCAAATCTGCTGCATGTCTTTCATAAAGGTGGTGCACAGTGGCAGGGGAAATGATTACTTACAGACAGTACAAACTTCTGGTCAATGTATTTCTTGGCTACATTTGGTTGGAAGTCAGGCGATTCCAGGAACCGGAGGAAGAACTCATACACCAGCTACGGAGGGAGAAGGAGAGATCACTTAGAAATCCCTCTGTCCTCTCACAAGTGTTTACTTCAGATTTTAAAGGTTTTCCTTCTCCTTAAGGATTCAGGGAAAGGCTGGAAAGCCTGAACAGGAGCACAAAACCCAGTGTTTCCCCACTCAATGGGATCATCGCAGCTGCCCTTGCTCTAATGGGCAGGGGTCTGGTGGCACATAATTGCCCAATCATGAGATCTCCTCACTTCAGGTTCCCCCATAGACAACATCCACCTACTCAGATTAAGACACTAGGCCTGGGAAACTCTTCTCACATCTTCAGCACACATCTCTACAGAGAACAGAAACCTTCAGAGATGGCAAAGGCTGAGGCTTCATTGGAAGTCCTTGAGACATGCCAAGGAAGAACAGAAAAGCAGAGAAATGAAACAGACTCCAGGAAAACATGCCGTGTCCTCTGCCTCCTGGGGACTGACTCCAGGTTGGCTTGGCCCCACTAAGCCATGTGAGCTGCATGCTGTGTCCCACTTGGACAACAAAGAGCAGCTTGTTTTAAGAAGGCTGTCAGTGCTGAACTTCTGGTCTCACTGTCCTCTTAGAGGGATGAGTCCATTCCAGGGCTGATCCTGTCTAGTGCTTCTGAGGGGCCACTAGGCTAAACGACAGTGATACATTCCAAAGGTCTGATTCTGGAGTTGAAGGAATTATAGGGCCATGCATCCAAAGGCAGGGCCCAGCTGCAAAGGACACCAGCACAGAAAAAACTGAGATGATGATCAACAAGCTCAGCACTCAGTTGCCACAAATCCATGCTGGCTGCTGCTGGCTCAATTCTGAGAAAGAAATGCTTCCTAGCATCCACTGCACATGATGAGGACACGCTATTTCTACTGACGCTCACACCCCTACGTCAACTGCAGCAGTGAGAAGCGACTAACCACTGCTGCAGAACTGCACCTTATTTCTTCTCTGTATTTTCTGCTTCATTCTGCAGTACCTGGCTCATTGTCTGCCTTTGTCTGCTTGACAACATGTCCCTGTGCAAGTGCCTGGGCTTACCTCCTGACTTCCATTGCTGAGCTCTGCTAAACCATACTCACTGTCGCTTTCATAACCTAGTTTGTCTTAAAAGTCTGTTTCCCAGGGAACACAGCCTAATGAAAAGGTCTTTGGCTCCCTTCCCCTCTTCCTCACCCTCCAGCTCCCTATCTTTTCTTGTCAAACATTCGCTCACAGCAAATGCAACTGAATTACATCCAACCTACAGGAGGCACATTAGCAGGTACCAGCACAGGCTTTGCTTTGGCACCAAGCAGCCCTCTTCTTCCATGTACCTCCCAGGTAGCTGGGCAAGGTGAGGAGCACTGAAGCAGAAGGGGTGCTGTTTCCAATGCTGCTGAAGCCCAGAGGATGCAGGCTCTCAAGTCTTTGTAAGGGACAGTAACACTGCTGGGAACTGCTTCTTACATAGGCAATACAGCACAACTCCTTCACTCCTAGCAAAGTGTTCACTCCCAGCCTACCTGAGGGCTATGTGGGACTACAGGCATCTGCAGGTGAATGTTGCACACAGCCTTCAGCCAGTTCCCAAGACACCCTTGCTGTCTGTACTGCCTAAGAGCCACCTCTGACCCCTGGGTGGCAGGCCTGGTCCTACCCCAGGAACCCTTGCAGGCTGGTGAAGCAGCCAGTGGCAGGACTGGCAGGCTCCAGCCCTATATGGACTCTCGACTTCCTGGAGATAAATTCACCAGATCTATATTTCCCCCTCCTCCTCACCTGAAGGTGTGGCCAGGCAGCCTCTAATGTAGGCTCATCTTCCTCAGGGTCAAACTCTGCTCCTGTGGGATTGGATGATGGTGGGAGTGTCCGGAAGAGGTTCACTGAAAACTAAGGTGAGTGAAAAGGTGCATGAATGACATCCCCACACCTCATGATGGTCCTCCACATAGCAAATCCTTCACTGCAGAGCAACATATTGTGATTTGCCACAGTTGTACCCACAAACCAATCCCTTCCTGCAGGCTGTAGGGTAATAGTCTGCATAGAAACTCCACAAGCGCAGTCTATGCCCGAAACAAGAGCTTCCACCTCTCCCTACAGCAGGCACTGTCACCACGACATCCCCCCTGCTCCCACTTCTCTTTCTGGAGGTGGGCAGATAATAAGGAATAGGTAGCACTGGGGTCACATTCCTCTCTGATAAATCCCTATCCCCTCGTCCTCCGCACACTTCCGAACAGTCTCTATTTCTCTGGCACGCAAGCACATACTGGCCCCATGCCCTACCATGATAACAGCTTCAGGATAGATAGCCTCAGTGACGACATCACGGTTGTGTGTGATGTACTCCACCATCTCATTGAGGCCTGCTCTCTTCACCTCCTTGAACTTCAAGTCGCTGAGAGGGTCAGAGATGAAGTCAAAAAGCACACAACACTGCCGCAGCTTCTGGATGAAAAGCTCTTCTCGTTCGTGTGGAGGAGCATCTGTCAGAGAAAGCAGGGACATCTGTCTTTGAAGATAGGCAGAACATCTTCCTGGTTTCCCCAGATATCAGTGTGGTTCGCTCCCTGTGGTTTCCCCCTCTCCTGTCACATCCTCTTTGAACTCATGGGTGGGGAAGATGGAGAGGCAGCGTTGCCCCTGCTATGGACATGAGACAGTGGAGGCAGAGGGACTGCAAGGCCTCTGAAGCAACTATCCCATGAGGGGATCTCAAACACAGTAGCAGTTTCTAATCTGATAAGCACTGACCTCTTCCCTGTGCAGGGTAGCCTGGAAAAGAAACTCAAATAGCTCCCATCACAGACCAGTAACACCCGCGCTCTGAACCGCACAGACACAAAGGGAGCTGGACAGTGCACACTGTAGCCTAACCTTCCACCCAGAGAGCAGTGCAGAAGAGAGGGGCCAAGGTGGCAGGGGTTCTATATTAACAGAGTCTCTTTTTTTATTCCATACGACTGGAAACTATGCACTGTCTCGGCCAATGACACAAATTTACCTCTTGCTTGCAGAATGCTACTGAGCTGCAAAGCAGCTGTCTTTCCTAAAAGGGCTGCCTGTGTCTGTGAGCCACATCAGCAATGGGTCTGGCTGAGTGACTGCTGAAAACACTTTCTTCTTGTCCACACTTAAATCATATTTAATTGCAACATTGTGTTCACTAAGTGTCAATTCCAAGTAATTGCCAAGGTGGAGAGCTTCAATAGCAGGGCTACAATTTGCAATGGAAACACAATGAGGAGGAGGCCTAGTCCTCCAACAGGAAGAGGTGGCTGTAGGAATCAAGGGCAGTCTGCATCAAGGTCTCTGCACTTCATCCTTTCCTGCATAATCTGCTGAAGAATCTGAAGCAGTCTTCAGTACATAAAATCATGAGGGTTTAAACAGTTCAAATGGGAAGGTAAGTACTGAAGTTTGCATTGAGAATCCTCTGATTTTTTTAGGCCATCCATCAATTCTCTACCTGCTGACAAGGCAAGCACTTTTCCCAGAATATCCCTGCTGCGCTGCCCGCAAGACTAGCCATACACTGTCAGAGTTGCTTTGGGAAGAGTCCTTACACCACCACACTCTGCCTGGAGAAGGAACAGCTTGTCATGCAGGTCACTCCCATCCCACAACTTCTTTACCTTTAAGGGCTGGGAGTTTTTGCAGTTCCCGGTTTTTGCTCAGATTGAAGCGAGAAGAGCTGTGCCGGCGCTCCTTCTTCACAATCTGGGGTCCCCCTGAGTACTTGATTTTATTCAGCTGGGTTGGTGGGGGAGCGCTGTTACTGGGCCGCTTATTTGATGTTGGCTGCTGCTGTGGTTGCTGTGGCTGCTGCTGAGGCTGCTGGGCCTGATGAGAGACAAAAGAGTAAAACGACTCAGAAGTCTTTTACCTACAGACCTCAAAAGCAATTAGACACCATCAGCATCTTCTTAGACTGAAGAAACTGGGCAGGTTTTTCACTGTTGCACTTGCAGTTAAGTGCACCTCACCCGTTCCTGCCAGCTCTAGATCTGTTGGTTGCATCTGCAGCAGACCTGCAAAGTAGGCAACAGTTTTACTCATATCTGTGAGGCACCACAAAGACACCATAGCCTCTTGGCACAGCAAGTGCTATGGATATGGAAAGCAAAGTCACATCTTTCAACAGGTTACAGAAGTCTGTTGACAGAAGAAAAAAGCAGAAATAAAAACTTCCTGTGGTCCAAACAGAAATCTCAGTGTGCTGCTGTCTCCAATTACATCACTCTGTACAGTTTACAGCAAGCAAGTCTAGAAAACTAGCAATTTGCTTCTTTGTCCTTGTGCAGGAAAAAAGAAAAAAAAACAAAACAAAACAAAAACTGGGGAAAAGCAAAGCAGTGCGTAGTACAGAGCAGACACAATGGTCCTGGAAAGGCAACAGCGAAGACCACTAAAATCATTGCTGCATCCATAGACCAGGAGCACCGAGTCTACAAACCACGTGGACTGTACGTACATACAAACATACACAACCTTAGGTTGCAGGTTGTGAGCTCTCCCAACAGACCCTGGCTGCTCTATCCTCTCAAGCTGTCTCCACCTCACTGCTGTCTGAACTTCTGTAGATGTGCTTTTATCACATCGCCCCTTTTAGCCACACAGACTCTGTGCCTGCACTTTCCCACTTCACGCTTGCTAAACTGCACTTACAGAGGCACTTTCTCATTTTTAATACATGACCAGAAACTGAAGCTGGTGTTTGCTCAGTTCAGCTCTATTCTGACCTTGCTGAAGCTCTGCTGGCTCAAGTCCCACTTGGGTCATAATGACTCAATAACTGACCCTTTCATTTCACACTGACCCAACCTGTGGAAAACTTAACAGAGGAGAGGGCAACATCTTGTCAGCAAGCCTATAGCAGAGGATTCAGCTGGAGACAGCACCCAGCCTACTGCACTGCTGGTACATGAAGCCAAGGATCTGCAGAATTAACCTGTTTAGGACACAAAAGGGATAGCACAATGGATGGGGGGACAGAGGTGGGTGACATCTTTGGACATCACTCCCTTCTTCCCCCATAAACTCCCAACAGCCACTCCCTGTGGAAAACAGCACCCAACACAAAACACCAATTGTTTTGCCAAGCCATTACTTTTTAAGGAGAAATCAGAAATACTTTTGTTCTGGTCTAGCTCTGTTTGAAGGAAATCTTGAGTGGTTCTCTTTCAAGCTCAGCTCCAAGCCAAAGTGTGGGGGGACAACAAGATTTGAACTCTCTTCAATTTACATTTGATCTGATTCCTTTCATGGAGCAGCATTGTCCCATGATGAGAGAAGGAATGAGATGAGCTCTTGCTTTGTGATGAAAACAGCAGTGGCTGCCAAACAAAGCAGGCCTAGACTACAAACTGGAGGTAACTTATCCTAAACAGTGTTCTCTCCTCAATTACGTCAGGACAAATCCTTGCTGGCAACCTTCCAAGACTGAGAAGTTCATTCCTCACTCTGAATATTTGGTGAGCCACTCAGATGTTGTCCAGATGCCTTTGGGAAGGCTAGACCTCTACTCTACATCACTCTCCTTCCACAGGGAAGAAGGGTAAAACCCAAATGCTGAGCCCTCACAGAGAAAAGATCATACAGAGAGAAATAGAAGACGCATTGGTGGCCTCGCAGGTAACACTGAAGGAAGCAAGACACATTGGCCCTCCCATCTGACGAGACATGTCTGTGCACTACTCACCCACCCAGAAATACCACAGGCAAATGTTCTGAACATGGCATGTGCACTGCATGTGAACAGGCTGGATCAGGGGGCTAGAAAAGTCCTTGTCACTAGTCTTCAGTAGTCTACAGTCTTCAACAGCTTGCATGAAGAGAGACAAAACACAGCTTCAGGTTTACCTGCTAATTATTTAAGAAACAGTCATACACGAACAACAGTCACACGACCAAGATTGCTAGAGAAAACCTAATGATTGGGGAGGTCAAATATACTCCTATGCTGCAATGCTCAGAGGGTTTAGGATGGATTGCTTCTATATGGACTTCCTGGTATCAAGTTGCATACCTGCTTTCAGGAGGTGCTTCCTGTGGCAGGCTTGCTGTTCTGCTGCCTTCAACACCTCCTACCTTGGTCACATGAATCAGAAGCAGCTTATTTTAATTTTCCTAACAATTTCTTCTTTGAAGTTTCCATCCCTGAAAACACAGCAGGCTGCTGAACCTGAAAGCTTTTCTCTTCGTGCACAGGTATCAACCTCACAGACTGTTTCCCCGACACCGACACCAGCTGACATGGCTGCAGGTGCACATCTACCTGATCAGGCTCAGCCCCTCCTGACAGGCAGGGCTCACACCACCACGGCAAAGCTGACAGCCTAGGAGACACTGTTTTGCAGCGGCTGTTACACCGCACATGCTGAAGTGACCAGAGAACAGCATAAAGTTGTTCACCCAAGTGTGGTGTGGCAGCCCCACCTTTCCCACTGTGGTGGAGCAGCTACTCGTGCCAACAGGACAGGCCAGCCCCAACTCCCCCAAGCACAGGTTCCCTGGCTCCATAGCACTTCCTCCCCACTGCTTCCCACCACCTCTCCTCCTTGCTAGGAACTTGTCTGCACAAGTCAGTGAGCCCCAGGCCCTAAGCTTGCTCTTCACCCCAGGCTCCCAGGGACAGACATCCTCTTCCCCCAGCCACGCTCAGCTGTGCAAGCTTCTCCTCGGCTCCCCCACCCATGCATGACCTCACCTCTGCAGGCACTCCTACTGCAGCTGGGTGCATAGCCACTCGGAAAGCCCTTCTGCCTCACTGGTCCCTTGAGCATCCCCTGCTTGCTAAGCTTCTCAGCCCAGATCTGCTCTCAGCTCCTCCTCCTGTGATGACTCTTTCCTTCCCATCCCTCAAGTCAGTACCTGCTCTCTTTGTCTGCTGTTACACAGCTTCCCTATTAAAATCAGGCTCTCTGCCTCAGAAGTAACATCAGCACACTGTAACGCCTATCTTTGAATAATGAACTCCAGGTACTGCAGTAACAAGCCCCATGGAGATATCTGCAAAACACGAAAATACAGCAGATCAGTGAAAAGGAGCACCCTCTCCCAGAGCTGCAAATCTCATCAGCAAGACTCCAAGCTGCCCTCGAGGCTGCAGAGCAACTCCTCTCTTTACTGCTGCTGCTAATCCCTGCTCCCACTTCCAGGTCATTAACTCTCTTCCCCACCCAGCTGCCTCTCCCAGTCTTTCTGGCCAGGAGGAGTAACTCTTTCTCATCCTCTCATCCAATGCTACCTTGGCCTCTGACATTATTTCTTTTTTCTCTTTAAATAGCTATGTAGAAATTCTCTGCATTCATATATTCATCATGTTCCAGAGGGAATGAACTAAACAAATCTTTCATTTCCCCACTCCTTGCTCTCGTGTTTTACTCCTTATCTCTCCCTAAGCAAATTGCCGCCACCAAAGCCAGGGCCTGGCAAAGCTCTGCTGGCTCTTCACATCAGATAGCTTCATCCCAAGATGAGCATCTAACCCTGTACTTAAAAGGGAACTCAAACACTTGCCTTCCCTTGTGGGGATGCGTCTGCTTTTGAACATATCTGCCTTTCCAGATCAGCTCCACTAAAAGCTCCTTCGCTGCAGAGAACAAAGCACTGCGCTTAGGGGTTTATGGACTGACTCCTACCCTCTTTGTCTCCGTCCACAGAGATCCCCATAGGAGCTCCTCTTCCACTGTATTTGCTCAGATCTGTCAAAACAGAGCTGCTCTTCAGCAAGCTTTACTCATTCCACCAGCCAGACAACTTGCCTCCAAAACAAGTCACAACTTTCTGGTACCAGGATAAATTAAAGTTGAGTCCTCCCCTGCTCCATGGTGTGAGAAAGGAAAGCACATACAGGAAGAGAGCTGCCCAAGTGCCGTTCCCCCACTGCAAACCCATTAAGCATCTATTGAGGTACGCAGAAAAAGGAAAAATCTCTCTGGTGCACACAATTTTCACCCTAGAAAAGGCAACCAATCAACTGTAACTCCATGGATGAATTCACAGGGCATGAAACTCTCCCAATGGCAGCAGAGGTATCCAGGCTGGGCTCAGCCCATCAACCCCACTAGACAATATCACTCCCAGCATTTCACAAGTCAAACCACCTCCTGCTTCTGACACAAGGAAGGAGTCTTGCTCCCAGCACGGTACCTAATTCCTCACAGTCCCCCAGTGTGAAAGTCAAAATACCTTTCTGTGCTTCCTGAAGAGCAAGAAAATCGCATTCAAAGCGGTATACATTTCTTCACATCAAGGAAAGAGTGCTCTTCCATTCTGCAGCAGAGCAGTCCAGAGACAGACAGGAAAGCACCAAGAGAGAACAAACTTCACTGCAGAACCAACAGGGAAAGGGAGAAGAGACCTGTGGCCCTGCACACTGCAGAGGTGTCTCCTTTCTGCTCTGCTCTCTGTTCTTATGATCAAAGGAAACTCAGCTTTCCATCTTAAAGAAGGGCTGGATTATGTCTGGAGTATGAGGAAGTGGCTGGGTATGTTTTGTGGGAGGGGAGGTTAGACACATCACTAAGTGTCTTCTGCACTCAGGCAGACATTACATGCCATTTCAGGTCACAGAAGAAAGCTTGTAGCCTGTGACATTCTTCTCTTCTTATTGCAACACTTGTAACCAGGAGAGTAGTGCCACAGTCCACTGCTGATTTGGACGGGCACATCACAGCGCTCTGCTTTCATGGCTATCCATTACCCTTGCATTGCAAGACCCAGGCTTTCCTTCCTCTTTCCAGAGCTGTGAATGCAGCAAAGAGCGCCAAATAAATAAAAGGTAAGTCTGAACTCATGATGCTAATGCAGGAGTTCTTTCAATTCCTTGGAGTCTTCAGGAATCTCTCCCAGCAAGCCATTTTCAGCAAAGGCCAGGATGGCAGAGGCAGAGGCAGGATGAAGGATCTACAAAACTTTGCTACCTGCTCCAAGGCAAACAAAGTCACATTCTGATTCCTTGCTGGCCACATGGCAGGTTAGGCATGAGCACAGCTTAGACCCTGAAACTGAGTGCCTAACAGTGAGGCTCTGCAACACAGATCTATGCTTCGAAGGAGACTCTAAAATCACATTATTTTGACTACAACCACGCCACTGAACTACACATTTCTTCCTAGTCTTGATTAGCCTTACATGCCTCCTATGCCCAGCCCTCCAAATTACAAACGCAACATGTTCCAGACAAGGCTTGAGCACACAGGCTTCTACAGATATAGAAGTGGCACAGCTTGCTTGCCAAACTGCAGTATTAAAAAAAAAAAACAAACCACACATATACACATGCTTCCTTGGACATGCATACAACACTTTTCTGAGCCAGTCCTTAAACCCCACAACTGCACTAAGTGCCAGACAAATTCAAGACTATCAGAAAAGTTCCAGCGTACACAAATTTCTACTGATTCTAAGCCCACCTTATCATAACAACATATTCTGCTAAGGCCATTCTAACACATCTAGCTTGGCAACATCAAAACTGAGAGTGAAAGAGACTCTGCGCATCTGGGAATACAGACTGTGCTTTCTTGTGAGGAATGCTGTGCTCAGCAACATGGCTGTTATACCAAAGGAGAATCATTTAATCTGTAGCAATTTATCCTTTCAAGTGTTCCTATCCATAACTTCCTAATCTCACTCCTCCAGAAAATGCCTCAGAAGAACAGTTCCTTTTCTATTGCTTCTCAGTACTCTCCCACTCCGACACGAAGTGACAACAGTTTATTGCGCTTTGCTCCGACAGGAGCACGGCAGCTGCTCCCATCTGTCAGGCTTCCTCTTCCTTGATAACCGTGGCTTGTCTGTTTCTGCAGCCAACTCTGCCATGCCCTGCCCACCTCTGCGAGCAGCGCTTGCCCTCAGCTTCATGCCAAATCTCTTTTTCCAGGTCTGTAGGGTATGAGACTCATGTCTCTTCCATAGTCATTGTTCCCTTTGGGCCAACTTTCAAGGGGAACTACCTACCACCTTCTCTGATTTCTTAAGATCTCGGTGACGTGTTATCTGGAAGAAGAGCTGGAAGTAGATAGAATGAAAGACTTCATTCCTCCCCAAAGATGAGCTGTACATGCACATTGCTGTACCGAAGGTGAAAGCCTTACCTCTTCTGAATTCTCTGCCCCACCATCCTTCCCGCTACTGCTGCTGCCAGGCTTTGTGGTGCTTTTGGTAGACTTTGGAGACTCCTGAAAGGATGAGAACATATTCAGAGAAAATTTCACCTTGTTCAGAGTTTTACCATCTCTCTGCAGAATTCAGGTGTGCACTGACACAGACTACCCCACCTCCACCCCTGCAGTATGCCCCGTTTCAGGCGTTTACTCTCAGCCCTCTTCCGCTGGGAAAGGCACCCTGAACGGCTCCCCAGGTAGCGGACGCCTGGGGCGGAGGCCACGGACCCAAGCACAGGAGCGCTGCTGGCACGTCCCGTCCCGGTCACCGCAGGCTGACCCCGGCCGGGCACCTGCGGGTGACAGGGCCCCGCGCCCACCCAGCCCGGGCCAGCCCTTCGCCGGGGCGCGGCCGCATCTGAGACACAAGGTGTCAGGGCACCCACAGTCTCGGCCCGGTCGCCCCGGGCGGCAGGATCCGGGCCCTCACCCCGCCAGCGGGCAGCGTAGCGGGGCCAGGACGAGGGTGCGGCCGTACCTCCCCTACCGGGAGCATCCCCGCGGCCCTCGGAGCGCGCGGGGCGGGGCGGGCCGGGCCGGGCCGGGCTCGTGGGGGGCACCGGCGGCCGCCCCTCCCGCCTTCCCTCCCTTTCTCGCTCTCCTGGCCCGGCGCGCGCCCCCGCCGCCCTCCTGCGCCACCCGCCCCGCCCGCCGCGGGCGCGCGCCCCC